GGTTTTGAATGAATATCATAATTTTAATGCAAAAAGCCATAAGAAAAGATATTTACATAAATTTTCAAAACCCTAATTGTACTTGGAAAATAAGTTAGTTTCGTGCACAGGTTTTTGGAAAGAAGTCTATATCAAATAGAAAGTTAAAGCAGAGTAGGAAACAAGTTACCTTAATTTGCAGAAACACTTGAACCGGTTCAAGTTGGCCAATATTGATTTTGTTAAGCATTACATCTTGAACTAGTTCAGCTGTCTGGAACCAATTCAAGTTGGCTAGACCTGAACGGTAGGTTTAAACACTTAGAAAAATTTCGGCAACATGTAGTTTTGAAAATCAAACAATGTATGCAAGTGTTATAACCTTCTAACTCATCTTCCTAAGGTGTTGTTCTTACCTTTTCGTAGACTTCAAGCTATCGAACGCGAACAATTCTTCAATTCTGCAATTGATCTCGAACTTGAATTTTAAAATTAAAAATACAACTTGATCAAACTTGTTTTGACACCGAAATTAACCAATTACAAAATATATATCTCACAACAAGTTCATGTTTTCAATTATTGGATTTTGGAACTTCAAGAACTCAGACACCTAAGGATACTCTGCATGGCATGAGTGTAATGAAATTATCTTTCAAAATGTTAGAATATTCTATAGTATTAGAAAGATTGTAGATATTTATAAAAAGCAGAGAATATTTTAGAAGGGAGATTTTTGTAGATTTGGAGGGAGGATACATATAATCTCTATAATTATGTGAGATATCATTTATTGTCATTTACAACAACTCCACATTAGAGTAAGAAATTTATGTTCCGATACAGGATAGTTTTGTATAAAAATATTGTTAATAGTTCCTGAATATGATTGTTTAAGAAATACAAAGGTCATGCTTAGATTGCATTTCAGAAAACAGTTCTCAAGAACAGTTCTCGAAAACAATTTTCAGATAACGGTTTTTAGTTTTTTCAGATTTTAAGCCTGCTTGGTTAAGAGATTTTACAAAACAGTTTCCGAAAAACAAAAACTCATAAAACTACTTGGTTGTATGAGTTTTTGAAAATAGTTTTATGAACTAAGAAAATAAATAAAAATATTATTGTACCTCATTTTTTTATTTCTTTAATTTATGATATTAACTATTAATGTAAATAAGTGTTGGAGGTAAATTCATTTTAGCTAGTATTCTTAACTTAATAACAGTTACACAAATACATATATCCAGTTAATTACAAGCCTCCTTCTGCATAACTCCAAAATGGAGGTTCTGTTTGGTGCTTGTATTTTGTTTCCCCTTCATGGGACTCCATGTACATTCTTCTTAAATTTAAATATAATAAAAGAGTTACATGAAACATTATAAATTAAACATAATAAAAGGTACACCAAAACAAAGTTTTCATAACATAAAACATAATAAATTGTCCCCCACACGAATATAACATAAAGTCACATGCATAGGAAAAAAAACAAAAAAAAAAAAAAAACAAATTAAGGCATAAGGAAATTGTTCAATAACACATAAAACCAAATATGTGTTTCAAGTCACATGCAACCAAAAACTAAACCTTGCATTCAGTAACGACCCAAGTCAGTCCAAGCTCTTCAACCAAGCAAACTTCCTGAAAATACTCATCTTAATGAACAATTCTCTGTAGTGCAATTCCTTGAACTTTTCAGTTGCCTTCAAATATGTGTCATCATCTATCTCATCAAGACCCTCAAGGCATTCAATACAATTACTTAGAGAGTATGCGTCTGGGCTAGTTGCCTTTTGAGTATGTTTTATTTTCTTATACGTCTCTGCCTTAACTAATGAAGCTTCAGTCCTTGCTTTGGAAGCTTCAACAATACAAGCAAGAGTATCATTAATGGAATCTTTTTTACGCTCCTTTTTTGCACGACGATTAGAGGATATGGATTTACGACGATGAGGATTATTGTCTTCAACTAGAATATTATTTGCATCATCTTGACCTTCAGCAGTTGAACTAACACGGACACTTGTATTCATAAATTGATCCTCCTGCTCTCGTTCTTCGTTTGTATTAGGTGGATCTTGAGTGGATGCATAGTGAAGTTGCCCAGTAGCAGTTGACGTATTAAAAAGAACTCCCAAAAGTTTGTAATTTTCCACTTAGCATTGGGATGAGCCTGAAAATATATATATATATATATATATATATAAAGATTCTTAGGAATAACCATGTTCAAAAATTAAACTAACTATTGTAAAATAATTAATTAAATACATATTTTTACCGCAAATATGTTTGCCAAGTTTCTTCATCAGCAGTCACAATGTTTGTTTCCGCATCCCAACCAAACCCAATTGTCTCGTTTAGAAGTGTTGAAAACTCACGATGCTTTGTACGTAATCGATTAAATTTTTCCTTTAGTTGCTTCACATTATAAGCGTGGTTAGTCTTGTTTATGAACTCCTCCGCAATCTTTTTCTAACACTTGGAAGTAAATATCCCAGATGGCATGTTCCCCTTGTTGACCTCCTCAACTATTATATCAACAAAACATCTCTTTAATTGTGTAGACCACAGAGCTGACTCCTCAACATCAGCAATTTGAGATGCCATCCTTTATTTGTGCATTAGGCAAAGAATTACAAGTAATAAAAGATTTTCACACAACTCAAATATATATCATACCCATAAAGTTAATCCACCTCTGAACATAATTTCTAATCCAAATTGATAATGCTAATCCAACAGTTAAGAATCAAACAAGCTTTAAATATTTAGAAACACCAATAAAATTCCAAGGTAGCAACCAAATCTAGCACATAACTGTTTTGCATTGCTTAGCAAAGTCAATGATGTTCAAGAAAAAAAATAATAATAAATAAATAAAACTCACTCATTTCCCTGGTTTTCTCGGCAACCAAACACTAATTAGGCCCATTAATTAGGGCAGACTTCAACAGTTTGAATCCAATTGGAAAACAGGAGATCTAACAAAGGAATGGGGTTAAAAATCAAACTCTCAGAAAGATCAAAATTAAATAACGAGCCTCACCAAAGCGCCAGATTTAGTCCAAATTTACATACCAAGTAACATAAAATTCTACATATTTTTTGAAGCCATTATTGGTGATCAGTCCTAGGGTTGGGTACCTCAAAATGGGGAAGTGTTCATTCTGTAAAACAACTGGCTATAAAACCACCTTGCTTTGAAAGCCTTCTCAAAGGAGGTTGCATTTTCATTGGTGTCGTAGCAGTTCATTCAGTGTGCTTGCTTAATTCATCTCCGATTATTTGATTATCCATTCATGTTTAATTAGATTCGACCACAATGATGCTGGGAGGTCGGCTTGCTCTGCCCAATCTTCATCTACAGTATAGCTCTATATAAATTATTTCTAGATGGGAATTAATGGACCATACATGTGTTGGTAATTAACATACTTTATAACTAAACTATATAATATATATGTGTGTGTGTGTATTATAATATAGGGTGATGATTAAGCATGTCTGTTTAACTAGACCTGCATGTTGAAGCTTACTTTGTATCTGAAACCTTAGTAGCCTTCATTTTCTCATTCATTCACTTCTCTTAGTTTCATGGATTTTGAAACAAAACTCAAATCTGCAACAAAACTCACACAACAAACAATGATTGTTGCATATTGCACAACAAATAAAATCAACTAAACCAACTCTACTGGTGTTCCTCAACTGTCGAGGCCATAATTTAACATCCAAAACCAAGTGATTAGCCAATGTCAAAGGCAAAGATTAAAAAACAATAATAAAGGAAAAAAAAACATAAAAATCATTTGAAAAATAAATAGACCAAATCTTGAACCAAAGAGATGGAGAAAGGTCAATTTTTTGCAGTCAGATTATGACTCAACACATATGATCACCACTGAAGACATTAAAGAATAATTTATCAAAGAAAAAAAAGACATTAAAGAATACAAAATTATCTCACCTTTTTACAGGAAGTAAGAAAGAACAAAAACGAAAAGAGGATGAAAAAGAAAATCAACAATCTTCTGTGATTTCTAGAGTTTTATTGTTCTGTTATTGGATGGTAGGGCGGTGGTTCTTACCATATGGTGCGTTTAGATTAGTATTGATGGTCAAAATTTGTTTTATGAAATCTTTGTCTTAGTAGAAGTAGTAGCACTACAACAGGTTATGTATATGTTTTTTTGATTTCTTTCCTTTAGTTGAATTAAAGTTGATGAGAGAATGTGATGCTCTGCTAATTTCTGTTTTCGACTTTAAGGGTTGAGTATAAAGGAATTCTTTGTGAGATTCCTACTTTCATCTTCTTCTTTCCCTTTCACCTTTAATTTAATACTTGAAACAATGATATATTAGCTGATCTTTCAAAAAAGAAAAGAAAAGAAAAGAAGTATATGCTGTTTAATATTTCTGGCAACTATTTATTTTAGTCCCAGCCATTAAACTTTCTATACCAAGCAATTTATAGCCCATTTTGATTAACAAGCCATACAATTTTTCTTTCTACCTTTTTCTTTCCTTAACCTGAGCGGCTAAGCCTATGATTAATTGAGTCTTAGCTGCACTATTCAGAGTGTATAGTTCTGTTCGATACAAAATGGATGGTGGAAGGTCTTCTAGTTTATTTGATGGGGGGAACTGTTATGTTTAGTTGATTTATGATCCGTTAAGCATGGTGCTTGGATATTGTTGGATTGTTTATTTTCCTTAATTAGGAAATAAACATTTTTGGATAACGAGGCAAAAATGAAGCAGGTGAAATAAGGAATGAGAAACCCTAGAAATTGAAAGATATGATGAACCCACAATCAGATTCAAAGTGCATCAGCATATACACAGAATCCTCAAGGAAAGATATTTTATCTCCAATAGGTTCAAAGTGAAGAAATAATTTGAATCATCGTCTGCACTATCTCTCATCGATTTTTCACAATTTTAATTCTAAAAAATAGAAATATCAAGAAAAAAAAGAAAAGAAAAGAAAATGATTATAATGAAAGTGTAAGAAAATGTAGACGAGCAATAATCGAATCGTCAATCTGATTGTATGACGACTGAAACGATATATCGCAAAGGGGAGCATATATATATATATGTGTAGACTAATTTATACATACACATATCAAATCCCTAAATTGCAAACCAAATTGCTAAACTGAAAACCTCAAATCCCTAAACTGAAAATCAAATCCACAGCAAAACTCACACAACCAACAAAATACATAATCAAATCTTCATACCATACTCATCCAACCAACCAAATCTATAACCAAATCCACAAAGAAAACAAAATCCATAACCAAAAAAACTTGGTACAGAAAAAAGGAGTGTGATTTGTGTTTACCTCAACAAAATATGAGCAAGAGTTGGATCTAGAGGAGAGAAATGCGAGCAACGATCTTGCAGAGAGAAGCCGTAGAGAGGAGAGAGAAGCGGAGAAGCCGTAAAGGGGAGAGAGAAGAGAGGTGTTGCAGAGCCCATTTTGGAAGAGGGGTAAAAGGTGTTATGTCCGAGAGCCGCTTCCGTGTTTTTTTTTTAAGTGCACAGTGTTCTCCGCATTGCTTCTCCCTGTTTTTAGAAACTCCCAAAATAGCAAAAAGGTGTTCTCTAAAAACTGATACTATGAGTTCTCAGTTTTTAAAAAACTATTCTGTGAAAATATATCCAAGTAGAACAAAAGGCAGTTTTCAGATTTTGGTAACTCTCAAAACAGAAAACTGTTTTGAGAGTTCTGATCCAAGCAGGGCCAAAGTATTTATAGTGATTTTGTAGGTTTGGAATGTATGAAGTTAAAGTAGTCCGTGATTTTGTTCGTAAAGTTTGAGAAGTACGAAATATTTTCTGTGAGGGTCAATTTGGTGCAATGGAAAATGGAAGAAAGGAAAGGAAAGGAAAAGGAAGGTTTTGGAAGGATATCAGAAGCTTCGAATAGTAATTTTCTTATCCTCCCAATAATGGGAAAAAATGGAAGAAAAGAGAAGGGGAGGCTTGATCTTTTATTTCTGATGCCAAATTTACCCCTATACAAAATCAAGATTACACTTGATTTTAGGATTTAGTTTGCAAAACAAGAATTACAGACCTTGATTAGTTGATTTAGAAAAAAAATTAAAATTGTGATACCCCCAGATTTCTGGATGCGGGTTGGCAAGGCCCACGCCCAAATAACCGAGGATATCAAAAATAAAAGGTAATAATCGAACACATAATACAACAAATGAAAATAAAAATAACCAAAATGCTGATTAGAAACTAAAATGATAAATAAAACCTTATAATAAATTTCTATTAATAAATTCTTCTGATACAAGTAATCCTCCAATTTATACAACTTGGGAATCTATAGTATGTGGACCCCTGGAAAACCAAAACTGAATAATCAGCGGTCTATAACTAGATACTGAAATCACAAAGGGAACTCCTATGTAGACAATTCGGAAGAATGAAGTAGACGATTCCTACTCAGCACGAACAATCCCTACTTCTGACAAATACCTGAAAAATAATGGTGGGTCAAGCCCACAAACAAATTCTACTCTACTATAGTCCGAGTAGAGACCCGATATGTAGATACATCCTAGATAACTCAATAATAGCTAAATAGTCCATATATGTATAAATACACATTATAAGACGCTCACTAGTCCATAGGTCTGTCTCAACCTGAATAGAAGGTAACATGCAAATCGTACATTAAGTGGGCATGTATACCTAGACCTATCAGGGGACCAGGTGTCTACTATGTCCAGTTATCCATCCTAGGCGATATACGCACCCTAACCATGATCCTGAGACTCAAGCTCATAAAACGATACAATAATCATGTATATATATAAATCCATCCAAAGCCAAGGTATGTCATTCAATTGTTTATTGACCTGACACAAATATAAGTAGGACTTAACGTTTATAGTTAATCCAATCCCTTGTTTCAGAATAGGTAGGACTTAGTGTTTTGAACTAATCCATTCCTAATATGTCACCGTCTCATACCGGTGCATATAATTCACAAAATAATCTAATAATTGATAAAACATAATAAAGTAATTTATCAATTAAAATCCAGAACACGATATAATGAAATCAGATATCTAACTGAGCACATTATATTGAAATATTCAAAAGAAGTTTCATCATAATCCATTTAATCTGCTAGAACAACACCAAGCAATTAAATCTTCCATATCCATTGACTGGATGCAAATAAGTATTTAAATTTCATAATGTCCAATATTTTAGCATATTAGCATATACTAACAATTTTGGGATTTTAACGTGTTGATTTAAATCATTTAAAACCCCCTATTAAAATCCATAATTCCATTTTAACCCCTGAAGTTCTAAAAATCTCAAAATTACACCCGTAGGTGCACTGCCAGTGGAGTCACCTCTCCCAAAGAGGGAGCCGGCTCCTCCCTTTGTGGAGCCGGCTCTCCCCCATGGGGAGCCAGCTTTACTCCTTGTAGAGCTGGTTCTCCCTCATGGAGAGCCGGCTCTCTCTTTCCTAAAGTCGGCTCCCTCATTTGGAGAGCCGACTCTTTTTCTCCCAGAGAGCCGTCACTAAAACCTTTCATCTTTTTCGCCTCTAGCGATGTTGCAGAACCCTCTGTAATGTTTTATTAAGGTTCATAGGCTTTAATCTATGTCCCAAATAATCCCAGAAATTTATAAAACACAGTATGCATCATTAACAACAATTTAAAATACCTAATATGAAACAATTGATACGATACATCAATTTTCAATTAACAACACATAATCTAGTTAAAATTCTAAATTAATATGCATACAAGATCAGTTTTAAAATCTGATTAAATTATGAAGATTATCTAGGCATGCACATAACACAAGTATAAGGGAATGAGTAAGATATAGAACTTGCCTTTAAGATTTCAGATTAAAATCTCAACGTCATATTTCTAGATTTTTCAGGCAATCCCTGACTGTTTTCAACTCCACTGTTGCCCTTTGTTCAACCCATGAGCAAGCTTCAATAACCTCTCATTGGTTTGGCCCTTGTTCTTAGCCAAAACCCTAATCACCCTCTCTCAGTTTCTCTCTAAAACTCTCTGTATTCTCCTGTCCCTCTCTCTACTGCTATAAAGTTTTACAAACCCTATTACAGACCATCATATGTATTTATAGGTTAAACAGAATCCAACCCTAGTCCTTATTGAAACCCAAGTCCGACGGAATTAAAGAAAAATAAAATATAATTACATATAATATGTCGTGATAATTAAATATATACATAATTTATAATAATAATAATAATCTACCCTTATATACGTATATATTCAATTATATATAAACAACTATCCGTATATGGGTAAATATCCGTACTCATAATCAACTCCCATTCAAGTAGTCCATGCGACCTAATTATTGGTCCATTACTACTATCCAAATTCATCATTTTAAACTAAAAATAAAATAAAATACACATTTAATCTAGCAAATAAAATTACATTTAAACAAATACATCATCTTTTAACAAATAATTTCATACAACAATTAATTTAAATAAATCACTTAAGCACACACTTACAATTAAACATATAATTCATTTAAACATATAACATGAAGCCACTTAAGCACACACTTACAATTAAACAATTAATTCATTTAAACATATAATATGAAGCTACATAAACACATAGCCACGTAAGCAACTAAAATACAATAAAAGAAATAATTAAATCCCTTTTTATATTCTTTTGAAAATTATGGGTATTACATTCTTCCCTCCTAATAAAAGGAATTTCGTCCTCGGAATTCACGAAACTCTGAATTATTTTCTTTTAAAGTTCATTTTCGTTCTCGTGTGGACTCAGCCTCTGTGTATGGGCTCTACCGAATTCCAATGCACCCAGCAATATCTAAGGTTCTTATATTAAAGAAGCATTATAAATGGACAACTTCGAGGTTGTATTCAACCATGATCTAATCTTACCTATTATTTAGTTAAAGGTAACGATCCCTATTCCTCCAAATTTCATAGGATATACGCATAAAATTCATATGCATCCATCGCTATCAAGTTGATAACGCTAATCTATAGGCTACTACCTCAATTGATAAACACAATCCGTAACAAGTCAATTTAATACGTAAAAACTGACATTCCTCCGAAACGCACACTGCTTCCTATAGGGAAAACATCCCAATCAACCGTTTCCTGATAGAAAACTCTAGTGCACGAGCTCAACTATTTACAAAATCCTACTACCGCCTCCAAATCGCGCGAAATCCATTACAAAGGAGAGTATTTATCTCTGATGTATCCTTAAATGAAGTCAAGGTCTCATTGTACAACCCTCGCTTCCATTTCAGACCAACAAGTGAGAGGTCTGCAATATATAATATACAAAACCTCGAACATTGTCACACCAACCTCCTTGTGCCAATAATATGATAGAAAAAAATATATATCTGAAAAACGAAGCAAATACTTCCAATTATCCATGAAAACCTTGGATATATGCCCCAAGCATATCCCCCATGGTTAAATTTAAATTTCTCGATCAAATCCTCCGTCTATAGATATGAAGCATAGTTGCTGCTCCAATATCTTCAGAAAATTCCTTCGAAACAACACTTTTCATCTACTATAATGGATAACCACATACTATAACTCCGTTATCAGTGTAATGTAGAACTGATATGAAGCTCTAAAGTGAACACTACTAGAATTAATTTCCACAAGCGAACTTGCTCAATCCACCACTCTTAATCCATATAGAATTAAAATTCCAATCAATGTCGATAATTTCTACCAATCCACTCCTGATTAGTCCTACTCCTATTTTGATATAGGAAGTGGCAAAAATCTCCAATGATATCAGATTATCAATTTCCACCTTTCTAACAAGTGTTACACTTAGAGACAGTTATAGACATGTCCCTCTCCGTACCGGCTCACCAAAACAAACATTGGACGACTTGATGTAACTTAGAGCCATTTGAGTGCACCATAAAATTTTGAATTTTTACATCTCAGTCACTTTGACCTCCCTAACATCATTTATACCAACTATTAATCCTCTTTCAGTACCCTAAGCTCTATCTGAGTAAGGTACTACCTCCTCCAGGGTTAGCTCCAATATTCTAAGTTGACCTTCTTAAT